AAGGAAATTTAGAATTTACAATATATTTTGTACTGACAGTCTAATTGATGAGACAAAAAGAAGGGTTTGGTTTAAATATCAACAGCAGAGTGCCCAGTGGGATTCTTTGCTTCCTTATTCTACCAGACAATGCCAGAGCCATGGAGAGAACTGCAGATTTCTACTTGTGTTCAGTAGAAATCACTTTGAGCATAAAAAAAATGGGATAACCTGCTGGACAAGGAAACTGTTAATTGTGACAAGTCTGAGAAAAATTCCACCATCTTGTTAATCTGAACAGGCTCAAGGCAAGGGAAGGAAAACCAGGGATAACAAAGCCTCTGGAAAAAAGTTCCAGATAGGGTCAAGGTACTGCTATTTTAAAGTTAGAGTTTTACCAGCTAAGCCAAAACTCTGAATTTCAAACTTCTTGCTCTGCAGAAAGCCCTGGTATTTGTGAACAGCTGAAGAGTGATTCACTCATCACAGGTAGTTCTACATAAAGATACTGAAAAATGCAATATTCTCTTCAGAGACTCTGTAACAGCTGTTATGTTTCTACCTAAGCTGAAACCCTTACCAAAATCACCCCTCCAAATGGAAAATGTGACATTTTGTAATAAAAATCAATTCTGTAAGCAATGAGTACATCTACCCATGCTTTCAGTATCTCATTACAAAAATATGCAAGTTGCCACAAAACAACAAACAAACCCCCAAAAATTCTGCTCTTGTCTCTTAAGAAAGAGACATGCATGACTGTACAAGTACCTATTCAGCATTTCTCACTATCCCATAATTTCTCATGTTGGTCAGTTTCTACCATAGTTAGTAATTAAGACAGAGTCTCAAAGAAATTCAACTCCTGTTAAATTACCAAATTTCATCAATCTGAGTAGTGGACAAAAATTCAGTGTGTTCCTGAAGCAAAAAGTAATTCAGTGCAGCCCTGTCTTCTGATGTGTAATTTCCATTGTGATAAAATGACAATGCATGCACCAAACTTAGGTTATGCAGAAATTGTATTTATATTATCAACTTGTATTTTTACACACAAGTTACAGGAGAAAAGGTTGACTCAGGAAAAGAGATTCTGTTGAGTAATGCCAAGAACATTTCATTTTCAAAACAGGTGTTCATATCACTGCCAAATGATCATTATGGAATAAAAACCACAAAACCTTTTGTGTAGCTTTGTAAGTGGAGTCCACACAGAACAGGGGAGCTCAACCTGAGAAATAAAAAAAATCCTTATGGTAAGTAACCAGAATATTCAATATATATGGAATATATATATTCAGAGCATCCAGAAACTGCTGGGGCAATTTGGCTACCAAATAATAATGCTATGAAACCTGTGGGGCTGCCTCCACTGCATGAGTACTGGTCAGGCCATTCCAAATATTGGCTACTAGCATGGTCTGTGCAGTGCAGTGATAATTCCATCCACCCCCTCTCCCTTGCTCCCACAAAAAACCCTCAACAGAGAATACAGGAAATATAAATACTTACTTTCTGGTGTGGGCATGAAACAGCTCAGCCTGATTCATTCCTTTCTGCCAAATGCCCCAGAGCCAGCCGCCCATCAAAAGTGAACTGACTGCAGGGCTGGGCTGTAAACCCAGAGCCTCTTGGATAGGAGTGTAGATTGCTGGGACAAAGCCCATCCAGGCAGGAAAGGAGCCAACTGCAAAGCTGACCTGCAGTGGCAAAACTCTCTGGGGAGGGAAGATCAGCACTGGGCAGTAAAGAACCAAGGGCTGATACTGATAGGTAGGATAGGAACTGAGTTTAGATTTAATAGCAGGTTCACTCAAACCAGCCTGTAGCACAACCCTGCTGATGTGTTCACACTATTTAACACAACTCTGTTGCTGAAGCTCAGCCTGTGCATGGAGCCAGTGCTCACCTTCAGCTCAGGAGAGATGTGGAATACTGGGTGAGAACAAAACTGCAGCCACAGGGATATCCCACAATCCTGAAGGCATACAAAACTGGTACATCACTAAAAATAAAAGACAAATGACAGATCAATCCATAAGACATTTGTTTGGAGATGCCTCCGGTCTCTACACGACAACTGAAGAGAGACTTTTGTGTTCTCTTGGAAATATCAGGCACCTGGATTCCTGAAGGAATCTGTAAATAAACAAGTAGAAATGAACCAGCATACATGAACAAGTACACCAAGAGGTGCACTTTGAGCATGAGTTGAACTAGATCCTAAAGTTCCTCCCAAACTGATTTATTCTATGATTAGACATTTTACCAACATGTACAACAAGCAAATCTCCAGAACAAGTGTTCTAGAATGGTGGATTTATTAATACAAAACAAACAGTTTCGAGGCTTCAGTTCCCTCCTCTACCCATCACACCAGGATCATATCCCTTCCTTGTACAATCCATCCTTTTTTCATGATCCTTGGCTTGTGGCATCCAATTTATAGAGCAAAGAGGAGGCACAGCATGCCCAAAGCAAACAAACCAAGGAGCTGCAGAAGTGCAGAGGAGTGAGAGGAGGGATTCAAATTTTTTGTCAAGCTGAAGACCCTCACTGGAGGCCCACTTTTGCTCTGAAGAGGGAAATCTCAAATGATCTGGTGAGAAACACATGAACTACACCTAAGAATTGGCCCAACTTCTCCTCCAGTCGTATTAGGACTGCACTTGTGCTTGTTTGAGAAAAAAAAATACAGAGCACAACCTGAAAGCAGGAAACTTTTGTACATGAACAGTTTAAGATTTGTGTTTTTTCAAGCCCTTTGGCTTTGGTGGTTTAATACTCATACAAAAGAAGTACAGCAGAAACTGTCATCCTCATTTCTTGCTCAATTGCTCTGTGGCATTTGCTAAGCTCTCTTTATTTCAACAGAAGACTCCCCAGAGCACAGGAGATGTTCCTTCTTGGCATGTCATTACTGACTCCCATTTGACCCTTATGTAGAAAAATGTTGCTAATTCAGCTCATTTTCTTATAAAATCTGTATTTTTCTTAAATCCTTTGCTGCTGAAACTGGCAGAGATCCAGTTCCCTTTGTTGAGGTTCTCAAAATGAGAGAGCCTTTTTAATTTGAAGACTGAATAAATGAAGGAAGCACCCCCAAAATGTCAAATAAATCATGCCAGAATGAAAAATAAAACTCACAAATTTTAACTTAAGAAGAGTTAAAATAGAGAATACACTTTTCTAGAAGCAACAGAAATTCGGTTGGAAAATCTTTAGCTACACTGCCAACCCTATCAATGGGCACCAATAGAAGCCAGTTTATGACAGAAAATAACATATGAATGAGATGTCCTTGCCATTTGCAGGGCATTTTCACATTTTCAATGCTCTAGACTGCCAAGGTCTGTGTGGTAGAAACCACACATTGTACAATAATGAATAAGCCAGAAAACGGGGCTTTAAGGAACACAGTACAAACACAGACTGGTAGGTGGGTATCTGGAATGTAAACATGGCAAAATGGCACTGAAGAGAAGAAACCAAAATCTGGGAGTGAAAGCAAATCATAAACCACATACACAAGAAGGAAAGAGAAAGGACAGATCAGCTGAATCAAAAACAGGGTGTGAAAGTGCAAGTGAGGAGCTGCACAGGGTTGAAGGAACTTGGCTGAAACAAGGAGCCAGCACAAAGCTGGGAGAAGGCAGCCACACCTGTGGCAGAAAGACCACAGAAGGTCTTTCAACATCCAAAGGACAGTGCTCTGGTGCTTGTTACTGCTGTGCCAGCTGCTGGTTACTGCCTGGAGCATCCAGCAAGCTGCACCTTCCACCCCTCTTTGGGAAGGTCCTCAATTACTGAGGCTGCACGTCCAGAGAAAGTACCAGAGATCACCAGGTGCCCATAAGCCACAGGTCTTTGACGAGAAATTCACTTATGGTGGAGAAGTTCACATCATCAGGGGCAGAAGTGCCAACTGTGTATTTGTATCATGAAAGAGTTGCTCTTAATATCTACTTCAAAATTTTCCTTTTTTTTTCCTTTTCTTTCTTTTAACTGGAATCTATTCACTGACCTAAATTTTCTGTTTCTCCTAAGCTCTGCTTGGCTCATGCATGAAGGAAAGGGGCCAAAGATGGCCTTGTGCCACCACTGGTCTGCTGGGGACTTGCTCAGCTTCCCACGTAAACCGGCCTCGGGCTGCCCTCCTTTGGATTTGGCTCCATTCTTCAGCTTTGGCTGCAGCAGCCCCCCGAGGGGTCGTTCCACAGCCAGGAATAACTCAGCAGCTCTCCGGCCACCCTTCCAGCCCCTGGATCTCTCCAGCAGACCGATTAACCCCTTTTGCTTGGGGATGCACAGACGGGTCGGGCAAAGGTGATGCACCAGCTTCCCTGAGTGAAGAAAAAGCCTCACGGCAGGAGGTGCCGGACACCAGAACAGGGTCAGCCCCCCGCGTGTCCGGAGACCCGGGCCAGCCAGAACCACCCCGGGCGGCCGCCGAGAAGCGCTCGCCGAGCGCAGGTGGGGCGGCGGCGGGCGAGGGGCGCTGGGCGGGCACTGAACGCGCTGTGCCGGACCCGGACTGGCTCCGCCGGGGCTCCGAGCTGGCATCGCCCATCCCTCCCGGCCGGTATCGCCCACCGCCCTCGCCCCAGCATCACCCATCGCTCCCGGCCGGCATCACCCATCGCTCCCGGCCGGTATCACTCATCGCTCCCGGCCGGCATCACCCACCGCCCTCGCCCCGGCATCACTCATCGCTCCCGGCCGGCATCACCCATCGCCCTCGCCCCGGCATCACTCATCGCTCCCGGCCGGCATCACCCATCGCTCCCGGCCGGCATCACCCATCGCTCCCGACGGGTATCGCCCACCGCCCTCGCCCCGGCATCGCCCCCGCCTCGGCAGCAGCGCCTCGCCCGCCCCGTCGGCAGCCGCGGGCGGCGGGAGCGCCCCTTGCCCGCCTCTCCGCTGCCTCCCGCCCGCCTCTCCGGCGCTCCCTCCGCCCCCTCGGCCGGCAGCTCCCGCCCGCCGCTCCCCGCTGCGCAGAGCGGCCGCGCCGGCGGGGGATGGAGAGCCAGCGCTGCTTCGCCAACCGCTTCGATGACTACCCGGGCAGCCCCGCGGCGGCGCCGGACAGAGAGGCGGCGGTGCCGCTGGTGACGGCCACCATCGAGCGCATCCTGCGGGAGCTGCCGCCCCTGGGCGGCCCCCGCGGCTGCCCGGGCGGGCTGTACGGCGGCGTGGCCGGCGTGGCCTACATGCTGTACCACGTCGCGCAGTGCCCGCTGTTCGCGCCGTCGCGGGACTCGTACCTGCGGGCCGCCCGCCGCGTCGTGGACGCCTGCCTGCGCTACCAGGAGGGCTGCGGCGAGGCCGACGCCGACACCCGAGCCGCTTTCCTGCTGGGCGGCGCCGGGGTGTACGCGGTGGCCGCGCTGGTCTATCGCGCCCTGGGGCTGCCCGAGTACGCGCGGCCGCTGGGCAAGTTCCGGGAGCTGAGCGAGGTGTGCGCCCCGCTCTCCTTCCTCGAGTGCGGCTCGGACGAGCTGTTCGTGGGCCGCGCCGGGTACCTGTGCGCCGCGCTGGTGCTGAAGCAGCGCCTGGGCATGGAGGTAAGGACGGGCCGGGGGCGGCTCTCGGGGCCGGGACGGTGCCCTCGGTGCTAGAGGCTGTGTGCAGCTTGCACTTTCGGGGTACGGATCCAGAGCCCCCGGGGAATGAGTCCCTGCGAGCTGTTCTCATCCGCGCTCCTCCCCGAAACGAGAAGATGCGGCTTTGGCCGGAGGGAGCGGGATGGGGTCCCGGCCGTGGAGCGGAGCGCTGCATCCCGGGGCACGCCGAGAGCATCAGCTCTTGGTTGCCGGATGGTGAATTAGTTGGCAGAAGGCACCCCGGGCTTTCCAAGAGTATTTCCGTAAAATGAAGTGGGTGAGAAAAGAAATAGCGTTGAGTAAAACAGAGAGAGGAACCCTGTAATACTAAGCGGTGCTGTGATGTAATTTGTAAGCAAAGAACCCGATTTTCAGAGGCATTTGGTCTTGCTAACCCCAGCATACACTTTCTGAAATCTGGCCGTGTATTTTGGTGCTTTTCACGAATGAGAGCAGGGAGTTTTGGCTGGGAGAGTGAGATGTGGTTATGGTTCAACATAGCGTTGGTTTCAGTAGTCGGGACTTTACCCCAGGACATTGTCATTGTCAGTACAATTCAGCTGACAGTTCAGAGCTTCCACTGATTATGGCATAATAATTATTGCAACTGATTGTGTTTGCTGTGGTGATTGTTACTAAGTGGTCAGTGTGATATCTGAGCAGGCAGTTGGTAGATTTTTTTTCCCCCTGTCCTTTTGTCAGGTCTAATCTGTGTTTTCTCTGTTAATCCCTGATTTGCAAGTTCATGCTTCTGGCTTTCTTCCCTCCCAGGAGAGGAAGCAAGATTTATTTATAAGTAAATAAATGATGTAAAACTAGTGGCTCTGCCCCATCCAATACCAGTCACTGCAATTGGAATCTGAGGAGATTCACTTAAAGGAGGTCTCAGGAGGCTGGAGGGTATCCAGAGAATCCAGGAAGAATGTTAAATGCTGTGATTGCCTTGAACTAGAATTCCTAACCACACTAAGCATTTCAAGTAGCATACCAAGCCTGCTGTTTCTTTGTACAGATTGTATGACAATCATAACCATAAACATGATTATGTTATTTGTAGCCATAACATAACCAAATTTTTCATTTGGTATTTCTTTCCCATGACAGGAAAGTTTTGTAGACACGTCACAATCCATTGTGCAGCAGTGCCTGCCTGAAGGGATGGTTTCTCCTGGAGAAAAAAGCCATCCCTCTTGGTTCAGTTTGCACTGGGGGAGTGTGTCCAGCATCCCTGTCAGTGTTTATGATGGTGTTGTGACATTCCAGCAGAAGGAGGTGGCACCCTGCACTCTACTGCTTTATTTAAAGCTATTTCCATTTGCCTTACATCCCTGAGAGCAATTGCTGAACAGTTGGGAGAGTGGGTACAGTCATCTCTCACAGGAGCATGAGCAGTGGGAGAGCTCTCCTCTATTTGCTTGCTTGGTGACAAATTGTAATAAAGGGAGCTGTAAAGAGTTACACATCCCCACAGATAAGGTGTGCACTTACTGTGGAGTCTGTTTAGCAGGTGGGTTAATTGCTGTTTTGCCAGTAAAACATATCCTGTGACCCCTTGCTGATATTTTCATTGATGAGCTAATGTCCTTCTATAGTATTATTTCTTCTGTCAAATACATTGCAATTTTAAATGTATAGTGCAAGAAACAAAGCACACCACTAATCAATAATAAAATCAAGTTATTTTTTTAATTTCAACAAATACTTTAAAAACTTGCAACTGAAATATTTTGCTTCTTTGTGAGGAGAATTATGATTTCTAGTCTATATGTACTCAAGCTTGAGCAAAATTTGTGTCCTTCGATAAATATTCCCAGCCTAGTACAGAATTATTTTAATTAGTACATTGCCAGACCAAACCTTGCATCCTTTTTACAAATGAAGAAAGGGATGCCCAGAGAGAGTGCATGTCATTTATTACCCAAGGTCAAACTGTAAGCCAGGTACATCCCAGAATAGAAGCAATATCTTGTGATTCGAACCGCTGGAAAATGCTACCTCCTGTAATTTGATTGTGCACAGCCTCACATGGCTCATTGCAGCATGTTTTCTTGTTACCCACGTTCTTTTTTTTTTCCCTTTTTTTTTTTTTTGAGGACACTGTGCAAATATTTCCAGCACAAAGTGAAATACATTCCCTGTGTTGAAACACAGCCGCTGCTGCCCGCATGGTTTTTTCCTCTGAAGGAGTCAAATGGTGACCTACATACGAGAAATCACTTGTCCTTGAAAAAAGCCTTTTGAGGGAATTTTATAATTTATGTCTTGTATTTGTTTTTTGTTTAATCCAAGCAGGGATGGAAGGTGACAGCTTTATTTCAGCATATACACGTTTAGCTCAGCTCCTGTGCCCCAATACTTCAATTTCTTGCTAAAGAGTCCTGGTGTCGCTAAGCTTCACATGTTCTTCATGAAGTTAATGGACTGTCCTGAAGGATCCAGTCTGTTGGATAACACTGACCTCATGGGAAGAAGGCATTTGCATTCAGCTGGTTTTCAGATTTTTAGGCTAATACAGCATTTTCCCTGATTAATTAATTGGGATTTTTTGCATGAGTAAGAATTACTTCAGCAGTCAAGGCTTAACAGGATTTGACTTTCATGATGCACTGTGCATTAGGAAAGATGTTTATTTTCATCCCTTCTTTAATTTCCATTATATTGCAGTCAGTGCTTCCCAAACAGAGATAGGTAAAATATTGTTTTGGCAGAAACAGTGTGTCATTTGTATACAGTGTGTGTACTTTAGCTGTCCTTAACTGCTGTGTTTTCACCATTCAGGGGAGAAAAACTGTTTTATACTCTCTTAAGTACATCTTTTTCTAATGCTTGTAGTGTTGGTTCACTGTGTATCCTTGGGGAAATCTGTCAGTCCTGCTTTTAATTACCCTCACTCACTCTCTGTTTGCTTGGGCAAACAGCAGTAAGACACCATTGAAATGGTGGTCCCATCCCTCTGTTTGGGTGATATCTTATCCTCTCCTCAATTTTTCTCCGTGATGCTTCAGTCCCATTTCGTGGTTGATGGAGCATGGTGTGCCTGGGTCGATGCACTCCCTTCTGGCAATGTAACTGTCAGATGATGGGAAAGGTACAGAAGTTCAAGTGGCTCCTTGTATTACCATCTGCTAAAGATGTTGCTGCCTTTTAGCACAGCTTGGGTTATCTTTTAATAACTGACTCTGTGGATGGGCTCCACTGACTTCCACTGGCTCAGGGTTCAGCAGCAGCACAGACAGCAGCGGTGCCCTGCAGAGACAGGGCAGTGTTTGGCTCAGCCTGGGATTGTGATTTCATTGGAGACCCTGCTCTCAAAAGACTTTGGGGACCCCATGAGAGACCCTTGCTGCCGTTGCAGGGGTGACAAGGGGAACCAGCACATTGTGGCAGCAACGTGGCCAAACCTGTTTGTTCAGGGACTGAGGCACTGGGGAGTCTTGAGAGCCTGTGGAGGCTCTCCAGTGCCACAGTGGTTCCTGTCTCTGTGGCAGAGACACATCTCAGTTTCCTTTTCCAGCCAGTGCTAGGTCACAACTTGGTGTGTGTTTCCAGGGGTGTTGTCCTATCTGAGTGTGCATAATTCTGATATTCTGCCAGGGCCTGCCCAGAAAGGACCTTGGTCTTTCCAGCAGGACCTTGTTGAGTGTAGGGCCCTACTGAGAACCATTCTTATCCTGGCTGCTGTCTATCACCAGAGCCTCTTTTGTCTTGCACCTCATGGGATTGCAAACCAAGCTGAATGAGTCACCTGGTATGTGGAAAGCAGGAACAGCTCTGCTGTGGGGTGTCTGGGACCTGGCTGCCAGAGCATGGAAGTGCCAGGTGTTGTTTTAGCAGGCAGTGGAATGGATGGATATGCAGTGTGTGGAGCCTGATGGGTCCAACCAGTGTGTGTTTTGTAATATTCTGGGAGAGAAGATACAAATAAATGAAAACTATTTTGTTTCAGCTCCTCAGACAATTCTAGATGATGTTATTGGTTCCTTAGAGCCTTCCCTCCAGATAGTCAGTGAGTATTTAAAGACTCTTGTAGGCTACTTAGCTCCACTTTTTTCTTTTTCTTCGATCTCTTAGGAAAAAATGGAAAGTGTGAGAGGAAGAATCTTCCTGAGTCCTGCCTAGAACATGTTCATTTGCAACATGGAATGTATTAATACTGAACATAGTGTTTCTGAAAGACATCCAAATTAAAGATCTTTGAAGGGAGCTCTGCAAAATACCCACAAAACTGATGCTCCTCCGAGTGCTGTAGTGCAGAATCCCCGTGTCAGGCTTTAATTCTCACCTGTGCCTGAAAAACGAGGGTTGTCCTTTGAGGTGAGATTTCATTCCTCCACTGTGGCCATTAAAGGCCTTTCTCTCTGTGGAAGAATTTGCCAGTTTATGTGAAACGTTGTGGTGTTTTAAATATCAGATATGGTGCTAGCTGGGACTGTGCTGATTGCATTATTTCGTTTCACCCAGGCCACTACACAGCCAGGATCTCTTTTTTTGCCAGAGGATTAAAATGAGTTAACAGTAAAGATAAAATCTTTCCATCCTAGCCTGCTTCTTTTAAATGTGCAGTCTCCTAGCCATGGTTTTCAAAATTACACATAGGGGAAAAATTTTGCATTAGTTTGCTTAAATGGGTGAATTTAAACCAGAATTTGAAAACCAGTTTTTTCTGAAGTAAACAGTAAAACAAATGGAATTATTTGAAACTGGATTTTTTTTTTAAGGAATCTAAAATAATTTGGGTATACATTTCAGAATTTTCCCGTTTCTCTTCAGCAAGGCAGTGCAAATCCTTTTTATTTTAACAGCCTTCAGACTGGGAGATGGGGACATCTTGATAATGGCTGAATTCAGTTCAATGCAGAGGACCCTGAATATTCAGCTGTAGAGTCAAAGTCAAAAACTGGAGGTTCAAAATGTTGAGTTTGAAGTGCACTGTTTACCAGCCAGCAAAAAAGCACTGTAAT